GAACATTAACTTCAACAATACCCTGTGACTGCAGTTCAATTACTCACTATCTACACACACATTACATTCCCCTCTTTTATATACCAGCCTACCCTATCTAGCAAATACTAGAGCATTCGCCAAGATACGGGATAATTCTAGAAATAAGAGGGCGTGAGAATTGTCACGTGATCTCGATGACGCAACACTGCCCCCTCCTTAATATTGTTCGTCCCGAACAATAACCACATACAATAAACCAATAACAATTAACAATAACTTAATTAACTGTACAGAATTACAAACACAAAATTACAATTCAACAAAGTCTCTTAATTTTTCAGGACGTATCTTCTTCCGTACTGGTTTTTGTCTCGTTGGCTTCTGCTTTATGTGGGATTCATCTGCTTCATCAGTAAATGTCCTATCATCGGTAACAGTCACATCAGTGTTAGTAACATCACCAAGAGCTTCACCATTTCCCTTCTCCAAACTGAGTAGAGTTTCTTCTTCGATGATGGCTTCTTCAGGTGGCTCGTCTTCAGCAGTGTCATTTGTTCTGTTTTCCACTTCGTCCCAACTGAAATGTCCTGGACCGTGATAACACCAAAGCCTGTTGGCATGCACCACTTTTGGTTTACCTTGCCGACCACATTTTATCTGGAAAGTCACATCTGAGAGACGATCCACTATGTCATATGGGCCTTCCCATGGAGAAGACAACTTAGGAGACTTCCCTTTGGTCTTCCTTGGATTATACAACCACACCTTGTCTCCTGGTTCAAAGCTGACTTCAGTAGATCTCTTATCATAAGTTAACTTCATCGAATCAGCAGACGTTTTCAAGTTTGAACGCACTTGATGGTGGATATCGTCCATCCTTTCCGATAACACTTTCACAAACTCTGACACATTCTCAGGCAACTCTTCATAAGGTGGGCGTCCTGTTAACAGATCCACTGGCAACCGAAGTTCCCGACCAAACATCAACTTTGCTGGAGTGTATCCAGTGGCTTCATGCTCTGCTGTCCTATAGGCCATAAACAGTGGAGGGAGTAAGACATCTCAGTCATCTTGGCGACTATTACAAAACTTTGCCAATTCCTGTCCCAGTGTCCAATTGTACTTTTCTACCATCTCATCGAACTGTGGGTAGAAGTGGCGTTGTCCTGGTCTATCGGATGCCAAACAACTCGCAGCATTCTTGGAACACAGCTGATTCAAAGTTACGGCTTGATCTGAGTGCAGTTCGTATGGCATACCAAATCTGAAGAAGAAATCACTAATAGCCGAAGCTACAGTTGTAGCTTCCTGATTTGATATTGCATATGCCTCAGGCCACTTGGTGAAATAATCCATCAGCGGACTTACAACGCTAGAAACCGGATTTCGATACCCGTGGTAGGCAGAGCATAGATAACCCATTGTGTAGCTTTGTGCTTAACTTCAAACAAAGCAAAAAAAAAAATTCCTTACAAACTTAACTTTCATTAGATATTCAATACAGGAGCAACTGAATAAAATACTTGGGCTACACTCTGGGCAGAAAAATGCAGTGAATCAGATATGTACTTAGTAACCATAAATTACTAAAATAATTTCAGTCATGCATCCCATAAATCGAACAATCTTTCAGTTTGTTTTTCTTCTTAAGATAACTGACGAACTACATAGTAAAGCCAATACTTTACACTTGTTACCCTATAAAAACAGAAAAATATCAAGTATACAGGCTATTACTGTTTTGGGCCTACTCTTTATTAATAAAATACAGTCTCTCTGACTCGAAATGAACATTTCATTAAGTAATATAGTGATTAATAAACGATGTTATCTATCAAAAATAATTTTTATATAGTGCTTGAATCCACAAGAGTTCCCTTTATATATATACATATATATATAGATTGCTAGTAAACTCGGTAGTAAATAAAGACAACTTAGGGACAATATTATATACTTCTAAAGTTTTTTTTTCCTTTTCAACAGTAAATGTACTTTTAACGCGGTTTACATTCCCATTAAAGTAGAGGCATTGGACCAGGAAAACTACAACTCATACTGAAATATTTATTTGGACGAGTAAAGCCTGTTCCGGAAGTTTTATAAGGTATTCTGGGGTGTTTGAAAACATCATTAATTATATGAAATGACGTATTTTGATTGTTTGTTTGTAGTTATGCACAAAGCTACACAATGGGCTATCTGTGCTCTGCCCACCACGGGTATCGAAACCCGGTTTCTAGCGTTATAAGTCCGCAGATATACCGCTGTGCTCCTGGGGGGGGGCGTATTTTGATCGCGAGAGTGTTAGTATAAAACTATTTTAGTTCTTTATACTCTCAAATAACTTATAATAAAACTGACCTCTTTTCAAACTTGTTATATTTTTAAATAAACCTATTTCAAACAGATTGTCACTTAGCATGATCACTTTATTAACACGTATATTACACAAACTTTATGTGATAACTTAGTAATTCAGGTATCATGTAACACTATAATTCAGGAATTTCATTCATGTTTTTTTTATATTTAAAGAACAGAATCGCATTATTTGTGACTCATTTTTGTGTTTAAAAATAAAGAGTTATTGTAAATAATTAACATTGAGAAAGATATAGTATTCAAGGTCAAACCTGCAAACAGAAGAAAAACTGTCATTGCTTGGATGAACCACATAGGTCAAAGGTGAGGAGACTAAGTGGGGAAACAATACACTAGTATGTGCCACTCCTATTTTTCCTCAGCTCATGATGACGTCACATACCGTTCGTGCCATGTAACAAATCTTCTCTCCTTTTGTTTGTTTGTATAAGTGTGTGCTGCTAAGTAATGGCGTTTTACTAAGCCCGTGTACTGATTAAGGTAAAAAATCAATGATAATAATGATTAAAATCATTACTGTCCAAGCTTTAAATTATTCTAAGTTATTTCAAGATTCTGAAACTGTGAAGGCATGTTTAACATTTTACTATACTGTGAATAACTGTTATTCGCGCAGGTAATCGGTAAACCAGTTAAAATTTGCCCACACTAAACACCACGTTTTTATACAAATTATGGGTAAATATTTTGATGAAATTTTGATATTTTTATGACAAAAGATAAACAAATTGCTTAAAATAAAAGTATATAAGTAAAATAACTCTAATTGCATTTTGAGCGCCACCAATTGGTGTCTCATGGCCACTAGATGTCTCTAGCGAGTTAATAGCATCAAAACTATCTTAAAGTTTTCGGGTGTTGGAAAAATGACTCATAGTTTGTTAGTTGTACTGTTAATGTTATATCTTAACAGGGTTGTACTGGGTAGTTGACAGAAAAAAAAAAGAAGTAAACTTGCCACTGCAGTGGGCTTTGGTAAACTCAACAGTATATTATCAAAAGAGTATGCTTGCAATAAATTTCTTCGTATAAAAGATAATACCCTTAGAAAGGCCTACGGCAATGTTGTGAAGACTGAAGAAGTGAAAACAGTGAAAATCTGTCCACTGGGTTTTGAAATTTGACTCAGTTTGAGATTGAAACTCCGGTTGAAGGTAGGTTTTCAATAACGTTAGTTTATTGATACCAAATGATAGTTATGTAATTAATTGCTTCGTATTTTTATGTTGTTATGAACTGGTGGTATCGTCTGATTACTTTGATAAATAATGGCTGGAGACGGTACCTGATAATGACAAAACCTTGTCGAAACGTTGTACATTTGCTGCTATGTTAAACTTATATTAAAGTTTTTCTTCATTACCCATTCAAGCCGTCTCCAGCCATTATTAGTCTCAAAGTGGGTTCCTCGTCATCGAATTTTACTTTGATAAATAATATATTTTGATTGTTACTGTTAGTTACTTTATTTTGAAATTTAAGACCTTGTCATAACGTTTCCAAGTTGGATTTTTATAACTTCAGTTTTCAGAAAGTCATAAATTACTACTTCTACACTACTAATTCACTTTGTGTTATAATCTTTTAATAATTATAAGTGAATAAGAACCTGCATTAGAAATAGAAGGTCCAGTGTTGACAATAAAATGAAATAGTTTGGGATATGTAAAACTAAAAGGTGTCCTTCAGCTTATCCATGGAGATGGAAGGAGTGACTACCTTCCAACAACAAAAGCACTTGGAACATGTTGGATTATCCCAGGACTTCTGCTGTGAAACCTGTTCTTTACTATCCTAAATGTTGTTTTTACTCTATTTTTATATGTAATTTTATTTCCAAAATGTTTTCCATGATATTTTGAACTGAAATCATCATGGTGTTTTATTTTTTAACTATACACAAGCCTAGAAAATTTTTTTGTTTGTGAATGATAATTATTAATTTAATGGCACACAAATAATAATCTTTTTGTGTTTCTCAGTTCTTAGTTTATTACATATGTTTTCACCTTTAGAATATAATAAAGGAATAAGGTTGAAATGGTAATAACCTGTTTTTGTATTGTGCTATACTAATAATGTTTTCAGATTTTGAATTAGATGAGCTGTACTATATGAATTGTTCTAATTGTTTCCAGAAACTAGAAACAGAAGTATTTGAGAGATAAAATAAAAGTACATAGACTTCAACCAAAGGGCTAGATTTTTAATACCAAACATATATAAAAGCTAGAAACTGTGGCTATTTTTATGACAAGTAGACTGTTACTAGTTTTACAAAGTGTAAATATGTTTATTTTAGGTACATATCCAAGGAATGCTGTGTTCTTATTCAAAATTAGTAAAATTGATGCAGCATCATGTTGAAATTATTATATTAATCCAGTGTAAAACTAAGTATATAATAAATGTATTACTACTACAGCAAATTTTAACAATAAGTTAAAAAACTGACAAAGGTTCTTTTAAAATTACACTAATTACACTTAATTACACTATCCTATTGGTAAAATTATGAATCATTGTTTTCTCTCTTTGTTGTTTTAGGTAAGAGGTATTTGGTCATTATATATATATATATATATATATATTAAGTGCATAACAGATTTCTAAGTTGTTCTTAAGGTAGCTGCTTTTGTTAACTTAATGACATATAGTCAGTCACTTATAAGAGCAGTGAAATTTAGTATATAAGTTTGATAGCTCTTTATGATTAACCTTATTTGCTTAGAAATTATCCATGTGTTTGAAGGTCTTAGTCCTGGAAATTTATCTCATTAGTCTGTGTTATATAATAAGGTTCATGGATTACTAAAATCATAGTGTGTGTGCTATTAAGGTCAGCCATCAAAAATAATAGTTGCAGAAAGGTTTATACCTACCATTTTCTGTAAAAAATCAAATAATTTGTGCTGCTTCTGCTCAATGTTTGTCATAAGATTTAAAGGAGGGGAAAGCCTGAGAATTTTTTTTTCTGTTTTGCATTATCACCATTGTAACTAAATCATTACTTTGTTTTAGACCTGAATCCCCAAAAGTGTGTGTGTGGAAAAAGTCAGTTCAAACACATAGGGTCAGCTGCTTCAGAAACACAAAGTAATATGGAGGATTTGGGTAAGCTATTATTCATTAATTCTCTGGAAGTGAATAAACTTAATATAATGGGGGAAGTATATCAAAAAAATGTACTAAAGTTGTATTTCAGATAACTGTTATAAGAGAGTGTGGATTTCTAGGAATTAATAACAACTTCTTTAATCCACAGAATGTACTGTTTTATTACACCCTGATTACCAGTTTGTCCATATATGTGTGTGTGTGTCACGTTGTGACTTTTCATGTGATTTACCGCAGTTTCCAGCATTTGTTGTATGAGTTTAGGGGAATTTGCAGCGTTTCAGTATGATATCGATCATGGTTTTCTATTCTGAATTTTTAAGACACTAACTGGGTATTCGGGGCACGGGCCTAGCGATGCCTCTGATATAAAGAGAGAGTTGTGTATAAAATTTGTGCTTAAAATAAAATTCTCCTTTTAGTACGAACAAGTGAAACGGGGCCACGGTGTCTCTGATATAAAAATAGCGTTCGTTTGTGATAGTAATGTTTTTTTTTAAAAAGGCCGGGCGTGTAATAGTGGTAAATCTAACGGTTCATGCCGCAAAAACGCGCGACAGGGGCGACGGTGAAATCTCATCATTTGATCAGACAAGAATAGACCAAGAGCTTACGGTGGGTGAGGACTAGATACCTTCCTGCTATGACTGATCAATTGATATTTCTGCACAGATAGCCCTGGTGTGGCTTTACATAGAAATTATATATATATATATTTACAGTACAGACATATCTCCGACATGTTAAGTACAACCACACGTGTGTGAGATCGTTTTGTTTTTTTCTCTCGTTCTTTTGTTTTTCATACGGAGTTTGCCTATTTGCCGATTTAGTCACAACTTATCAGTAGTAATACTTCTAAATTAGCCATTAGGTTTGAGTTACCTTTCCTTGTTTGCAGTAACGTTGGAGATATTCACATATAATTGTTATAACTTTTTTTAATTGTACACATTTTCTCGTTTCTAGGATATCTCAAACCTGAGACAAAAGTAAAATATACACATATATATATATATATATATATACAGTGCCTTGCAAAAGTATTCACTTCCTCCCAACAATATTCACATTTTGATGAAATACAAATAAAGTAAAATTTTTTTTTAATGAACTTGTTTTTATTTAAAACTCTAATGATAAAACTTAACAATGTTATGTGTGAAGGAGGTTAAATGTTAGCAAAACCTGCAAAGAAAATATATAAATTGAAATCTGCTGATTGCGTAAGTATTTATCTCCTTAAGTCAGTACATGGTGGAAGCACCATTGGCAGCAATTACTGCTGTGAGTCTTTTTAGATAGGTCTCTACCAACTTTGCACACTGGAATGGTGTAATTTTTGTCCATTCTTTCTGGGAAAATTGCTCCAATTCTGACAAGTTCGTTGGGGATCGTTGATCGACTGCAATCCTCAAGTCTCGCCATAAATTTTCCATTGGATTCAAATCAGGACTTTGACTGGGCAACCCCAGAACAACCACTTTCTTCATTTGAAACCACTCCAATGTAGCTTTGGGTCATTGTCCTTCTGAAATGTGAATTTTCGACCAAGTTTTAGATTCTTGACTGACTCAAGCAGGTTTTCCTGTAGGATTCGCCTGTACTTGCACCATCCATCTTCCCCTCAATCCTGACAAGTTTCCCTGTTCCTGCTGATGAGAAGCGTCCCCATAACATGATGTTGCCACCACCATGCTAGACAGTTGGGATGATGTTGACTGGGTGATGTGCTGTGTTGGGTTTGCGCCAGACGTAGCGCTTTCAATTTAGACTAAAAAGTTCAATTTTTGTCTCGTCTGACCACAAAACCTTCTGCCACATGTCTGCTGTATCATTTACATGCTTTGTCGCAAACTCCATATACGAGATTTAAGATGATTCTTTTTCAGTAATGGCTTATTTCTTGCCACTCGCCCATACAGGACAGTCTTGTGTAGGGACCGATATATTGTCGATGTATGAACATTAACTCAGACATGGAACTTCGCAAATATTCCAAAGTTACTGTTGGTTTCACAGTGACACCCCTAAGCAGCTTCCTGCTTGTCCGACTGCATATTTTGGAAGGGCAGCCTGGTATGGGTAGTGACTGGGTGGTATGAAGCACATTCCACTTCTTAATGATGGACTTCACCGTACTCAAAGGGATAATCAGCGACTTCTCCTGATCTGTGCTTCTCTACCACTTTATCCTTGATTTGTTTGGAAAGCTCCTTGGTCTTCATGGTTGGTTTGTCGTATCACTATGTGAGTTGTGATTTGAACAGATGCATTTACTCTGAAGACAAATTAACCCACTTTGATTACTCACAGACAGAGACCATTACACTAACGTTGTGACCTTCCAAACTAATCTGTTGCACCTGAACTGCCATGGGAAAGGGGTTGAATACTTATGCAATTGAGAATATTCTAATTTTCTTTGGAAATCTAACTTAATTACAGAATATCAGCGTTTTTTAGCTTTCTCAGTTTGGAGTAGATTCTAAATATAAAGTCCCATTTGAAAGTTTCATGATTGCAAGCACAGACGGCAACAAAATGTGGAAACTTTGCAGGGGGGGTGAATATTTTTGCAAGGCACTGTATAGATAGATAGATAGAAATAAAAAGCAGACGCTACTATATGTCAACTTCCTTAACTGTCTCCCAGCCTATCATGTGATCTTTAGTCACGGTCTTCTATTTCCTTGTTAGCAGGGTACTTACTGATGATGGTTATATATACATGATTGAAGGAGCGAAGGGTATGTTGTATTATATTATACAAGTTATTACACTTTCACTTTTCATCGAACATTTCTTGATGTGCAAACGAATAGGGTCGTTTGAAACAAGATCTGACAATCTGAAAGTAACATATAGTTTCCAATACTATGAAATAAATAATATAATAATCATCCTTGTATATCATTTGAAACACTAAGTCATGTATAAGTACAAAATGGTTGCTAGCGGAGTAATTATGGCGATTATATTTCGTCTTACAGTAGCCATCTTTTTTTCTTCTTCTAATTGGGTATATTTTGTGCAATTACAAATAAGTTACAAGTTTCTGATATCGAACTAATTAAAACTGTTAAGTATATATTATATTAATATTAGAAAGCCGTGTAAATCTCTGTGTTTAGGCTTACACACTCGGAAGAAAAGTAACAATATAATAAGATATAGCAGTGACCTGTTTTTCTAGAGAAAAAGAAAAAAGTTTGCAAAAGAAATTGTTTTAAAAAAAAGTACATATTTTTCGATTTCATTCTAGATTATTCATTGTGAACGTGGAAAATGTATCACTAAAATTGTAAACCCACCACGAGATAAAAATATTCGGTTCAGGTAGCATTTTGCAAGTAAGGAAATCCAGAAAACGTTTTATTTGCTTTCTTGTAGTCTGTGAACTTAACACACATTTGTAATCGTTACTCTGTCTCTCTCTCGCCTTTTTTTTTCTTCTCTGTTAGTATGGTTTCGTTTTAAAAACCCATGTTTTAATGTAAAATACAGTTGTTGTTTTTCGAAAAACCATACTAGTAATGAAAAAATGTGTTTGAAAAATAATATAGAGTAAACATTTAATATATCGCTCTCGTTAAATAGTAAATCGGTTGTTGGTTACACATTTTATAAGCCTCTAAGTTCAGGTTTTTGTGAACACGGCTAACATGTGAAATATTAACGAGATATGTGTTTTATTTTATTCATTTATTTATTTTTATGTCAGGTCACGCGAGACTTATAAATTAAAATGCATTTATGGAAAAAATAATGTACTGTAATGTGCTGCCCTCTGTTACGTCGGTTTTAGAATATTATAACGTTTGTTATGTGCTGCCCTCTATAGTATTATTAAACTGTCTGCAGGCTTGAATACTTTAATTATGCTTTTTGCTCTGTCAACTTTCTTGCACTAATGATGCCTTATGAACACACGTGTATATATATACATGTATTATCATTGTAATAAACTTTATATTTTCTGTCATATAACTCAACATTCTTGCCATATGTCATTTGTGATTGGAAGAACAAAGCTTTTTTTTGTTGTTTTGTAAAAATGTCTATTTTGTAGAATGACGCAAACAAGAAATGTTACATGTCATATAGCACTACACCCCATCGCTCATTCCAAACATGAACTTTGCGTGGAGCGTAATACGTTATCTAAAAACGTAATACCTGAAAAAAAAGTTCCAGGAAAAAAACACATAAACGACACAAGTAATTACTGCATAAAATTCGAAACTCATAGTTTATAAAAGAATACGTATCTGGCGTATTTACTAATTGTGATACGGGATGCTAGCATGTGGGTGTAGCTTTCATAATATTCTTGATTGGAGTTAAGTGAAACAACCAACGAATATGTTAACTGCCAATATCGTTCTATTAATACTCGTGGTAAACACTAAGAGGGAACAACAGCGTTTTTTCTTTTTTTTTACATGACCCATTTACGTCTGAAATACAGTGATCAAGTGAGAATTTTAGTAACCTCTGCCCCTTTTCCAGCTCCGCCTGGAAACTATGATGTGAATCACGCTAAAGGAATTCTTCTTTGAAAAGAATGTACTGAGTTTCTAATGCGATGGGACAGCTTGTAGTTACTGTGTTTGTGCCAGCTTATGCTTGGCTTGCTTCCAAATATTAGGCTCTCAGATTTGTACACTTTTATATGTTTTATGTTATTGTGTATATGTGAATATAGTTTCAATAAGTTAAGAAACAGTCTTGTTATAGTTGATAGATTTGTATATTTAAATGTTTAGTGAAATATATGTATGTATTTATGTGTGTGTGTGTATATATATATATATATATATATATATACACACACACAC